CTGTAGAGGGCGGCCATGAGGGCTAGCACATGCCAGGGGCTGTAGAGGGCGGCCATGCGGGCTAGCACATGCCGGGGCTGTAGAGGGCGGCCATGAGGGCTAGCACATGCCAGGGGCTGTAGAGGGCGGCCATGAGGGCTAGCACATGCCGGGGCTGTAGAGGGCGGCCATGAGGGCTAGCACATGCCGGGGCTGTAGAGGGCGGCCGTGAGGGCTAGCACATGCCAGGGGCTGTAGAGGGTGGCCATGAGGGCTAGCACATGCCGGGGCTGTAGAGGGCTGCCGTGATGGCTAGCCCATGCCAGGGACTGTAGAGGGCGCTGTATATTTTTTAAAAATCTTGTGTTATGACAGTGTCTCAGTTACTCTTCTCTCGTTGCTGGGACAAATACCTGACACCTGAAATGAAGGAAGGAAAGGCTTATTTAGCTCACAGTCATTGGAGGTTTCAGTCCCTACTCAGCTGGCTCCAAGGCAGCGTGGCACATGGCAGAGAGCAACCTTTCAGGGCAGAGGCAGAAGGAGGGGCACCAGCTCAGGCTTCCAGCTAGCCTCTGCTCCTTACACTGTCATGCAAATCGCCTGCAGCACCCACACCCACAGTAATGAATCACAAACTCCAGAAGCTGCTCCTTGGCTGCATGAGGCCTTGGGGGGTGGGGCGCCTAGACACAAAGCATAACAGACAGTGAAGCAGAGAACGCTCTGCTTTATAGAAGAGGAAACTAGGAGACCAGGGAAGCAATTTGCCTATTATTACAGCTGTTCGACTCCAGTGTTCGTGACACCTGAACACATGTGTGTTTAATCTAATGACTTCAGAACATGCAAGCTACACTAGTGCGTTTCTGTACTTTGTAACATGTATTTTTCTCATTTCAGGGGATCCCAACAAGCCCTCGGGATTCAGAAGTGTTAAAGCTCCAGTTACCAAGGTGGCAGCATCTGTTGGAAATGCTCAGAAGCTGCCCATGTGTGACAAATGTGGCACTGGCATTGTGTGAGTACCTGCTTCCACAAGTCCACGCGGGCCCTGACGGTGGGAAGCCTGCAGCTGGCACCATTTGGGGATATCAGTCCCCAGCTGGCTGGCTCCGAGGCCGGTGGCGTGGCGGAGGGCACTGCAGAGCAGGCAGGGGGCAGCAGCAGACAGGCCCCCAGGGGACGGCGGCAGCCTTCTTTCTGTCCTGTGTATCCCTCCTGCAATCCCAGCATCACACAGCATCGATCCAGGCACCTCCGAAAAGCCCCACCTGTGATCACAGAAGGTTTAGGGGACCATCTAGATACAAGCCATGACAAAGCAGACGGGTTCTGCTGGGAGAAGAGGCGCAGAAGCCAGGCAGTCAGGATGTGCAGGGCCGGGTGATGCGGGTTTTCTCTTGCTGTGGAGCCCAGAGAAGATAAGACTACTTGGTGGAAATGAGAGGGGCCTCCCAAGGCATGCTTCCTGATCCCAGGCGTGGAAGTTCCCTTTTGTACCCACAATCAGGGGCCACTGGGAGGCTCTGTTTGGCCTTTTGGAAAAAATAATTTATTTGGTAGAGGATCTCACCACACAGCTCTGACTCGAAGTGATCCTCCTGTCTCAGCCTCCCCAGCGCTGGGGGTTCTGGGGGCCAGTAAGGCATGCAGTGCTGAGGATCAAACCCGGGCAGGTCCTTGCACTTGCCAGGCAGGCGCTTAGTTCCCCAAGCTAGCTCCCCAGCCTGTTTTGCCTTTTGATAGATGAAGGCCAGATGAAGGCCAGGCCCCATCACTGAGAGAACATTGTGGGCACTGGCGCCACCTGCAGGTCCTCATTGCTGACAGTGCCCTCTTCCTCCTCATGTCTACAGTGGCGTGTTTGTGAAGCTCCGCGACCGTCACCGCCACCCTGAGTGCTACGTGTGCACCGACTGTGGCACCAACTTGAAGCAGAAGGGCCATTTCTTCGTAGAGGATCAGATCTACTGTGAAAAGCATGCCCGGGAGCGGGTGACGCCACCTGAGGGCTACGATGTGGTCACCGTGTTCCCCAAGTGATCCAGCCGCTCTGCCCTGACAGCTCTTCTCCAGCCAGCCTCTGCCACACGCCCGCTGTCCGAGGGGTGCAGGCCCCTCCTCTCCCAGTGTCCCATGCTTGTCTTGATTTAGCCCTGCACATTAAATGTTGAGTCCCCTCAGGAGCTAACTGACTCACACTGGCTGTGTGAGGCCTGCTTTAGTTATTGGAAAATGTTTTTTTTCCTCTGTCCCCTTCCCAGCAACATAGTACCTTCTTTACCTCAGTTCTTATGTGTTGCAAATGGACCTCAGTGACATTTGAACCAGCCCAAATGGAGTGTATCTGATACTGATTTTGTTTTGCTCAATAAATTTACAGATTGTAAAGCAGTGTGGTTATATTGTATTCTTTGACTTTTTTCTCTGTGGCCTGCCTGGTGACATTTCTCAAATCTCTCCTCTTGTTCTGGGTTTCCTACTTCTCTGAGATTTGTAAGCCTGTCTCTTTGGTATGAGGAAGCTGGTAATTGAAGAAGCCATGTTTTTATATTGCTTTGAAGCTTGCTTCAAATTATTATTTATTTATTTATTTATTTTTTAAATGTATTTAGTACAGGGTCTACAGAGTCTCACTACACAGCTTGCACTTGTAGTGATCCTCCTGTTTTCAGCCTCACAAGCACTGGGATTACAGGCTCTTGCCACCACACCCAGTCTCATTCTCAGGGGCCAGCACAGCATGCTAGGGATCAAACCCCAGCCCCTGCGCCTGCCTAAGTTCATGCTTTAGTCCACTGAGCTACCTGGCTGGCCCAGATTATCTTTTTCTAATGAAAAATAATTCTGGTTTTAATGAAATTGTGTTTTCTTTACATTTGTCTATCCTGGGGCTTATCTGAGGAAATGGAGGCTCCCCAAGAGACAGATGGGAGCTGTACCAGTTGGCCTTAAAATGCTCCTCAATAAATCAGGTTTCAGGTTGATTGTTGCCATTATAGCTGTTCTCCTTTGGGAAGAGAAGCAAATGGGATTGTGGGTGCCAGCGGCGGAGAGCTCAGGGAATGCTTTGTCCTTAATCACAGAAGAGGTGCAGTCTGCCTGCTGACT